GACCTAGCGTGCTTTAGGCCCCAGAAGACCGGAGACCCGTTTGGAAAGGTTTGGGTCCATCGGGTCTCGTGGGTGTTTGTTCCATTGGCTGCTGTAATCAGGCGCGTTTGGGCGTGAACTTTTCAGGCTGGATGGTCCGTGGTCTCCCGACCACCACGGTGGATGCTTGCCGCGACTGTTTTTGCTGTTGACGGCTTCTCGTTTCACGTTACATGAGCACCTGACTAAATTCGGCTGTGGGCTGCACGACAGCAGGAACCAACTTTGCGGGTGTGTTGGCTCGCATGTTGCTGCGCTGATACAGGAGCACTTTGTTGAAGCCTTCTGCCGAAATTTCGTCCGGGGTTCACCTAGGGTCCGCACAAGATAGCACCCTGCTCGAAGAGGAGGGTACTGCGGCAAGACGACTGGTGAGCTATGAAGTCTGGCATATCAAGTCCTCTGTATGGTGGATCTAAGAGTTCTGGATCTTCAAAAACCCGGATTTGCTGTGGGGGCAAAGAGCCCCAAACCGTAAACCAATGTCTGTCAGCTAGTCCTCGCGATTCTGGAATCAGAACGGTTGACCATGCTTTTCCACAACTTGAGTTCTTATCGTTCAGACTCCTCCACAAATCATCAAATCTGGCCTGAAGGCAGAAAGCCCTGAGATGAACCGTTCAGCCCCGAACCCGCCTTGATGCTTCACTTACCTTTATCTTCAGGTCAGGAGGCTGCGGTTAAAGGGCCGGGGTTCAGGCACTTGGATAAAGTTTGCACCTTGTGCCTGATGAATTAACTTCGCGCCAGCTAACCTGGAATCCACTGCACTAGTTTCAAAGCCGAATATAAACCTGAGGCCACGTGGTGTTTGCTTAACAAGCACGTTTATAGCCTTTCATACTGTGAACACTCAGTCTACCTACTGAACAAAGGGCCCTAACCAAACCCAACCCCAAGGGCATCAACCTCTGAGTGCCCAAAATCCTCGACGTCATTTTGCGGTCCAAGTCCTCGATCCGACGAGACACATCAATCTTGCGCCCTATGTAGACCTGCTGGAGCTACCTTCTTGCAAGCTCCTTAGGAAACCGGTGCGGAACGTCTCTGGACAGGTTCTTTTGGCTTCAGGAAGGGATTGGGTTTAAAGTTCAAAAGTGAAAAGCATAGGACCCGATTGAAGCTCCCGGTCGTAGTAAATGACGGGATGCAGCGTTGGCTGCAAATGCAGCGGGCCCAGGCATTGTGTTGCAGTTCCAAAAAGCGCAAGCAACTTCAGACTGTGCACCAGGTCAGGTTTTGGCTATCGGGGGGCTCAGATTTTCAACCCTGCAAGACGGCTCAGAGTTTTAGCACTGTCTTGACTGGGACTCGAACCACCAAGTGATTGCTTCAGAAACGATAGCGTAGCCACTAGCCCAAAGCATGCTTCCAGTCCATAAGTTTCTGTGGCACCCGGCGATGTCATGCCTTTGGACCTGCTACGGCAAAGCCTATATTCCACGCCAAGAATCTGGGGCCTCAGATTCGCAGTTTTGCGGGTGTTCAACCGGGATTTGCTTCCGCACAGCAGCGCCAGGGGATGCCAGGGGGCTTAAATTCTTCAGTCGAAGCCAACCAGCCATGGCCGGAAACAACGCAAGGGGCGGGAAAGTTCTGCCCTTCAAGCCCGAAGTAGGGAAGTCTTACCCAATACTCCTGCAGGAGTAGTAGTAGGAGGAGGAGGAGGGGGTGCTAGTAATAGTGGTCGTCGTCGGAGGAGTGGCAGTAGGAACAGGGGGTCAAATTCAAAGTCTAAGTGACCGTCAATCCGAAAACCTAATAGCGATGAAGCTTAATTTTTAGTTCCTAAAACGCCAAACCTAATCCTCAAAAGTTCAACCCGGGAACCCAAAACCCCTGAAAACCGCCAAAACCCCGCAACCTTTAAAACCCATGTTTCTAAAAGATCCATCCGGCCATGACCGGCCCTTCCTCCGCGGGCCTCACCCTGACACTGCGACTGCCCGGCAACCGGGAAGAGGCTTCGAATTCCGGGCTTATTGAAGCTCGGGTTTCAGCGTATGACGGTTTTGTGAGAAGTTAGGGATACCGATACCCGACCTAGGGGTTTGAAGAGCAGGGGTCCTACCGTTTGCGCGCTAATTTCAGGAAGGTTGGATGGCTAGTGAGTTTACCCGGGTCTTGCCTTTCACGGTCTACGATGGGGGGGGGTGTTCCCGGGTCTTCCTTGCCGGAGTTGGTTGAGTGTGTGTTCGTTCAGGGGGCTTGAAGTTAGCAGTAGAAGTAGCACGTGAGGCTGGTTGCAGACCCGAAACGAAAGTCGACTAGATCCCAACCCCAATGGCCAATAGATCTGGCGCATTCTTGATATGGAGCGCTCGGCTTAATCAGGCTTAATCATCCTGCTGTGAGTTTTGCTCTACGAGGTAGGGTATTGAATATTCACTTGTCGGGCATCCAGCTCTCGCACAGAGGAGCTCGCTTTGGGTTTTGGGGTTGAGGTGAGGCTTGAGGGTTGTGGAGTGGGCTTCGGGCAACAGGAGTTGGAAATGTCAGATTGACTTGCTAGTCAGGCTGAACAGACGAAGGTAAAGGCGGAATGCCTTCGGACGAAGGGCTTCGAAGTCGGGGTTCTGGATTCAAGATTGCGTTCACGAACACGCAACCAATGCGGTGACATTTCTCGTGATCTGCAAATGTGTGTTCAAGTCTCTAAGCCAAGTTCGATCAGAGCTCCGCACCAGCCGCGAGACCTGCGACTCGGGACTGCAGTGCACCAGCCACTGCGACAGCAGCAACAAAAGTAGCTCTAAAGCCTGTCACTCTGAACCAACGACCGCAGCATCCGGAGGTGCTGAGCGTACGGGAAGATGATCTAGGCAGCAAGGTGCCCCGACGGATTTTGTATAGTACCTTCAGTCGATTGGACCCGAACCTCCTTCCGACTCCTTCCTTCGTATTGCGCAGAACTCCACAGCTTCCGAGTTTAAGAGTAGGGTGGGGTTTGCCACGCAACTTACGAAGCAGTTGCTATAAAGAAGATCCCTCACGCACTCACAGCGCACTGTCCAGCTCGAAGACCACTAATTAACCTGGGTTAGGCTTCAAAGTGCTTACCTTATCCCACAACTTGTGGACGTCTGTCCGTTGGGAGCGCCTTGCACAGCTGACGTCACAGCAAGGTGTGGTCCTCGCTGAAGACGCTTGCAGCCCTCCACCGGTTCCCTGCACCCGACCCAGCCCTTGCACCTTTGAGGCTGGATTTGGGGTTTTGGGGGTGTAAGGCATCCGCCGAAGCCTCTAAGCCTCTAGCAGTGCATCTTAACTTGCTCAAGCCCGAAGTAAGCCCTTCGTATCCAAGATTGCAGAATTTCAGGAGAGCTCTGCATTCTCGATCCACTAAACTTGGGGGGTTAGGGCTGAAAGGGCTGAGGGCTTAGAGTTTCAGCACCGAAAGTTAAAGTTAAAGGGTTGCCTAAGAGTGTAAATATCAGCACAATGACTCCGAAGGGTCAAAGCCGCTGGTTTTCTCTTTAAGTTCCAAAATCCTGTGGCTTGAGTTCCGACACCCAGATGCCCTCCCCCACCCCACACTTCCCATGATAAAAGTAGAAGCAGACATAATGACAAACTGGGCTTCCCCAGTACAATTATATTAGAATACATGCCAGAATCTCTCCTAACTTTCAACCCCCCTTGTCTCAGACCGGTCAAAACAAGATCCTTGGCTCTAGACCTAGCGACCAGGCGTCCAGATGGGCAAGAGCTGTCCTTGGACCAACCGCTACGATGCCAGGGTCTGCATCTGGGCAATGATGATGTTGAAGCGGCTTTTTGTGTTCGCTGTTTAGGGTCGCGAAATTTGGCGAGAGTGTAGAACATGTCCAGAATCGCTTTCCAGTAAACGTGTACAGTGTATTGGTATGGACCGGTATGGACAGTCGAGACGAAGTTGGGACGGATTTGTTGGCACACGGCGGTTTTTTGTAATCCGTGTAAGGGTTAGAATCGGCTAGAAGTTGTTTTGCCCTGACAAGGTTTGTGTGTCCTTCAGGTCTTTTTGAGCACTTGGTCCAGGACGTCGGCTTATGTCCTCAATTTGCAGATGTTTTTCCTGTAGCTTGAGTCTTTCACAAGTCATGCCTAGGGCCAGTGGCCGTGAGAGCAGCCAGGCCAGACTAAAGTAACAGCTCCGACATGAGGGAAACCCACTAGCCGCTAGCCCTTTGTCACTACTCTAAGCGCTTTTTGCTTGAGTCATTTCGTGCGACGAGACTTGGATCTCCCAGAGCTCCAAACTTCAGCGAATCCGCGATTTCGGGAAGTTGAAATGAAGAGTCTAAGACCTGAACATTTGGCATTAAGCCGTTTAGCCATGACAGCTACCCACATTCTCAAATGCTGCTGCATTAGTCATGCGATAAGTCGAACTGTGCAGAAACATCCGCCAAACGTTACTTCCTTTCCCCTAACACCTTGCGACGGACAGACCCCACACACTCCCGTACCCCGAGATTTGGCTGTTTCAATACAGCCCTGGGGGGTTTGGGCTTCAGGGGCTTTGGGGGTACTGGGTTTTGGGTTTTCAGGCTTTTACCAGTTTTGGGTTTTAGCCGTGTAGGGGTTTAGGACCATTCTACATGTCAAACCAGAAAGGCTTCCGAAGCTCAGGAGGGATGGCTCTCTTCTGGTACTGGCGCAGCCGCCTCCCCCGCCACCGCGCGTGCACGAGACGGACGCCGAAGCTTCAACTTAGCGTGATTATTGGATTGAGGTTATGAGTCCAGGGTTTATGATTACGTTGAGTGTTTGTGGGTGGTGCAGTGCCCTGAGGTTCAGGTCCAAGTCCAATGTGCAGAAATTCCGGGAATTACCTGTATCGCTTTTACCCCTCAAGCCCTACATGTCTCGGGGTGCTTGCAGCTCCACCACCAATGCCACCGTTACTGCCAGCAGCACCACTTCTGCGTCTGTTACTACTTCTATCAGTCTTCTGAGCAACTTCAGCATTTAGGGTTTTATCGCTGGAGCAGGTCGTTGTAACTTCGGCCGAGTTCGCCCTCCAACAGGACCTAAGGGCTCTTCAGCAACTTGGGTGTTTGTGGGTGTAGAGGGTCCCCCTTCGTCGGACGATGAGACGAGGAGCTCCTGGTTGTGTGATTACGGACGGGGGGCTGCAGGATTCAGAGATGAAATACGGGGTCTAGTGTCGACAAATTCGACAGTGGCAGGCATCTGAAAACTAACAGCATGTGCGCTTTTTCCGCTTGAGCCATTCCAATCATTTCCCCATGTTTTGGGAACAGCTGTTAAACCCCTCATCGAAAGCACACCGGTCACACTTTGTGTTCCCAAAACAGATACATCATTTGATGCATCTTTCTTTCCCCTCTTTCAAGTGCCTTTTGTTGTAAGGCAGTTCCTTCTTCGACGATTGACCATTTTCCAACGGACATGACGTATCGGAGGTACGTAGCTGGATGGGCCTTGGTAAGCGGGTCCGCTCTCATGGCCCGGGTATCAATCCAGCGGATGGTACCATTCGTCTCGAGCAAGTCCGCCTTGATGACGGCGAGGTCGATCGCTGTCCTCTTGTCGCTGATGTAGGCTGTAGTACTTGTACACTTGTTGGCGGCATCGTAGAGATTCTTGGAGTCTACTGCCGCCAAGAAGGGAATCCTTTTGGATTCTTCTCTCCATCGTTCGGTAGACATCATTCCGTAGAACGCCTCCAGGAACAGCAGCCGATGCCAGTGGATCGATCCGATCCCTGACTGAAGCGACTGACCCTCCGCCGCCAAGGTGTCCACGGTCTTCCGCTTTAAGCGGAAACTCTTCCACGGTGCCAACGTCGCCTGTGCTTCCATGCCTCCTTCTGCTAAGGCCTTGTCGTGATACAAGATGATCTGCCCTCCTTGACTACTCAAGTTCTGCAGCTGCTGCAGGCTTGAGTGGATCTTTTGGACAGCTGGCTCCTCGCTGGAGCACTTACGAAACCTCGTAACACCGCACCACGGGTCCTCGTTGAGGACTCGTATTCCTCGGTCGTTGTTCCAGGTGTCTTCGGCGACCTTGGTCTTGATCCCGGCCTGCTCCTGGTTGATGAACATCTCGCTCCTTCGGTGGGCCGAGATATGGTGTAGGTTTGGGCCTCCTTGAGCAGCGCCTGGATGGAAGCTTGTCCGTCTCGGCGCCTTATGGTGTCGTACCCACTCCTTGTCCGTCTCTTCCCAAAAGTCTTCCTCGGAGTTCTCGATCCAGATTTGCTCTCGCGAGTTCCCCCAAGCAGCGTCCGTCACAACCGAAACCCGTAGATTCTTCCAGTCGATCGGCATCACTTTGATGCCGAGGGGGCAGTGTTGGATTGCCTCGTCCAGGATCTTGTTGCATTCAATAAGATCTGATACCTTCGGCTCCGGAAAACATTGTTGAAGTAGACAAACTCTTCCAGCAATATCGCACCGCGTTTCCTTAGCCAACCAGGAAAGAACTCCTAGTTGACTTCGTAGTTGTTCCACTTCTTCCGCCGTGCGGCGGGAGAACCGCTGCTGCTTTCTCTTCCTCGGGATGTTGATCTTCTCGGCCTTCTCCTTGACATAGAACTCCTGGTCAATGCGGATGGAGCCGTCGGGCTGTAGGGCAATGTCCTTGCCGGTGAAGCCCTTCCCCCTTCTGGTTTTTCCCAAGTTTGTACTCCGTAGCAATCTTCTCGATGTTGTCCCAGTGTCGTTGATCTCCTCCGTGAAGCATGTCATTGGTGGCCAGACCAATGACTCCTTCCAGCTTGCGTCCGCCCTCCTTGTCCGTAGGACCATGCAGGAAGAACACGCAGGGGTCGGACCGGCTGGTCTGGTAACCCATTTCGCATAGTCGCCGGCAAAAGTGCTGGTACCAAGCATAGGGCCCGTCCGTTAAGCCGTAACAGGTCTTGAGGAGTTTCAGGATCTGGTCCTTGTGCATCCCCGGGATACCTTCACTAGGTTGACGGCAATAAAGTTCCCGATTGATCTGGTCGCCCGAGTGGAAGGCATGGGTGAAGTCGAGGAAGCCAGGACACCATCTCATACTCGCCAGTTATAAATATAACGGAGTCCCGGTTGACCTGGGGAGTCGTACTCTCCACGTCCAGCGCCGACTCCTCGGAGAAGCCCTTCATCACGTGCCGGCATTTGGCCTTGACGGGTCCATGCTGTTGATCGTCAAGTAGTAGTCCCTCCGCCTGTGCCTTCGGCACGTCCGAGGGTTCCAGTGGTTTCTTCGTTAGAACATACCGGCTTTCCATGACCTTCTCGGGCTTGTTCCGAAGGATGTCGTAGGACTCCTTGGGCGTGAGGATCTTGTAGGCGCCGGTCTCGAGGTTATTGTTTATCTCCTTGAGGATCGCCCGATCAAGTCGTTCACGGTCTTGACCCACGAAGTCTTTTGGCCGTGCTTCCTTCTTCTGCCTTTGATTTGCCAGGGTGGTCAAGTCCATGTGGTAGATCTCTAGCAACTCGATGCGGCTGCGCTTCTCTCGTGGCTGTTCGGCTCCTTCGATGGGTAGTTTCATCTCCCGTTCTTCTTCGAGACCTGGCGGGGCTGCTCCCCTTCCGGTTCGATCCGCTGGAAGAAGATGTCCTCTGTCGGGGCGGCGGTGCCTCGCTCGAACTGCTCCCCAGGTTCGGCCCGAAGAAGAGGTGCTTGTTGAGAGGAGTTCCCGTCAGCTTCGTAGTGGACCCTCCGCTCGGCAGCGGTGGCGTCGGAGGCAAGGTATTGGGAGTGGGCGGCTCCCGGTTGGTCTTCGCGTAGTGCTCCTTGGCCTTCACCGTCGCCTTGCGTAGCATCACCTTGCCGCACTGTCCGCACTTGATCTGGGTCACCCAAGCATTGAACCCAGTGCCGACCCGAACTGGATTGGCGCAGCCACATGGGACCTCCGCCGGGTCCGCCAGGATGTAGCCGTTCCCCTGGTAGCTTCCCAGGCTGCTCATTCCCGGAGAAGATGGGGCTCTCATTGTGCTCCATCCCAAGCTCACTGAGGAAGGCGCCGGAGATCTGGCATTGATCGGCGCGTTGACCGGCTCGGAAGGTGAAGGTCCATTCCTCCGGGTTGGCTGCCACATGTCCTGGTTCGCGTCGCTCTCCCAAAATTCGCATCGGCTCCCAGGGTCGGCGAAGCGAGGGCACTTTCAGAAGAGTCGATGGAGGTTTGGGGCGGCGCTTCTTGGTCCTCAGCATCACCGTCTCCAGGTTGCAATGGCAGAGGTTCACCTGGGTCGGGGCGAACTCGTCCCAGGACATGCTTCCGGTTTCCTCCTCCATCATGGGACGCTTCCGGGGGCTCGGCAGAGTTCCCGGTTCCACCACCGACCATTTGTCCTCCTGGTGGCTTGCCGTCAGGATGGCACTTTCGACCGTCATCTGGGCCTCCTCCAGCTCCTCCGTGTTCATGCCGCGCAGCGTCTCGACCATCTGCTCCCGGCGGTCGAGCTGTAGGTCTAGCTGTCCGGCCACCATCCGGTAGACGGAGTTCACCACCACCGTGAAGATCCACAAGACCATCCGGCGCCAGTGGAACTGGCGCTTGTAGGCTTTCTCCTCCCGGGTGCGCTTGGTGCGGGGCTGCATCTTGCACGGAGGTCGCGTGAGAGCTTGGAGGCTGGCTAGCAAAGTTTGCTGTGGCGTTGGGCCGATGTTGCTGCTCGGCCACATCATCATCATCCTGGTGCTTTTCGACATCACTTAGAAGATTAGCTTCGCAAGTTGGTACCCGAAGATCCTCAAGGGCACTGTTGAGTTTGCTAAGCATCTCGGGGCTAAACTGGTCGAGAGGTACTCGAAGAGCCCCTGTTGGGCCAATATGCAATGGAACCTCATGATTGAACTTGCGCAGTTTCAGTCGTAGTCCACGCTGAGGATCTAAATCAAGTCTAGGACCTAGAGTAGGCCCTTATTCCCATTTTGGGGGGTTCAGGTTCCCTTATAAGCCCCTTTAAACCAAAAAGGGCACCCTTTTTATTCCTAGGCTACTCTTGGGTCTAGAAGTTGGGCTCGACAAAACAGTAGGAAGGGAAGAGAGATCAAGAAGGGTGCCTTGCTCGTTTGACCCTCTTCGAAGACTGCTTGACGAAGAATGCATCCTCCAGGGCCTAAGCTTGCTGGTATGCATGCCACCCGCCTGGTTCTTGACAGTCCGTTCACCGACTTGAACACATGTTCTTCAGGTGTGTAGCATGCCTGTACTTCTCGAGGGTACCGGGCGATCATTCTATCTAAGGTCTCCTTGCCGACTGCAGTCCTTTGACAACCTGTGTCTATCGTAGCACATGCGTCTTCATCAGCCTGCACACTGTCATGCATGTACATCAGCTCATGAGGCAACCCTAAGGCAGAACACATGTATGCTGACGCGTCGGGCTCTCGTCGTTCTCCGGTGGTGTTGCCGTACAAAACTCCTCTAGGAAAAGCTGTGGTACTGCTGGACGACCGGTCTGGTGCAGATCCCTGCTCCTTCTTGGAGTCCAGGAAGTCCAGGTAGTGGAGGAAGAGCACCTCTTCAGAGCCGTTCTCCAGGTAGTGGGCGTCCTTCGGCTTCTGGGGATTTGGGCATTCCCGGTGCCAGTGGCCAATCTGTCTGCAATTTGCACACCGGGTCTTCTTCTTGAGGGCCTCTATCGAGATCCGGTAAGACTGACCGGTTCACACTGGCTCCTGGCCCTTGGCTGGGCCAAACCTCCCGCTCGGGTCCTTCTGGGCTCCATAGCCTCTGGCCAAGCCCTTGGCCCGCTTGGCATCATTCACTGCCTTAAAGGATCGCCGGAACCCGCCCTTGCTGTACTCCTTCACCATGGTGGCCAGGATCTCCTTAGCCTCCTCCTCGTCGAACACGTCGGAAGCTGCCGTAGACTCGCCCTCGACCCCGTTGTCCAGGTCACCGAGGGCATTCAGTAGGACCTCCAGGTTTTCCTCCTCCGGCTCGTCCTCGTCCACCGTCTCCACGTAGGACTCGGTCGCCTCGTCCATCATCATGATGGACTCCACCTTCTTCGGCTTCTGTCCAGAAGCATTCCAAGCCAGGTCTGCTTCTTGAACGCGGATCCATTCCTTGACGGCCTTCTGCGTGAGCTTCCCCTGGGTGTAGTTCATCATGAGCTTCACCTCGTCCGGCGTCACCTGGAGCGCCATGACTAACAAGAAGCCCAGGTACTCTTGAGGCAAGTCCACCTTGTGCTCGCCAAGCTTCCGGACCGCATTGTCCCACCGGGCGAAGAAGGTCTTGTACCCTTCGCTCTTGCCACGCCTCAAGGTGTACGTCACCTTGACCAGGGTGTTGATCATCTCTTCACGTTCATCCTCTCCATACAACTCCTTCGTGTTCATCATCTGAATCAACTTGTTCCCGTTGTCATCGCTTTGCATCCAAGCTTCGTCCTTCGCTAAGTGCTTCAAGTCGCCGAAAGGCGTCCCCGACAAGTTCCGAAGGAGGGATGGGCCCCTGGCCTTTGCCTTCACCTTGGTGGTGGCCAACCAGAGTCTGGCACGGATCTCATAGTCCCGGAAGGCCGTGGTTCCGTCCCACTGTGGCGGGGGTCCAGCATTGGACCGGCTGCCTCCGGTCTCCTCCTCGCCATCGTCGTCATCATCCACGGCGCGTCGCCTCGCTTGCCTTGTCAAAGCACCCCGTCTCCGAAGAAACTCCTCGAAGCCAGCCAAATGATCGCTGCCGGGGTCCTGGGTCCGTCGCCGTGCTGGGCTGAAGCCGGGAGGCGGAGGTTGGTCGTCCGTGCGACCTGCAACATAGTCCCTCCACGGGTCTGGAGGCTCTTGCAGATCATCGTCATCTGGCACTGGAGTCGCCGCATGAGCGGCTGCATTTCCTTCCGCGGCCACGCCAGCCATCTCAGCTGCCTACAGGGCTCCAAGCTCAGTCCTGAACAAGCGTAGGGCTCTTACAGGTCCAAGGAGCTTTTCCGAGCTCCGCTACCACTGTCGACAAATTCGACAGTGGCAGGCATCTGAAAATTAACAGCATGTGCGCTTTTTCCGCTTGAGCCATTCCAATCATTTCCCCATGTTTTGGGAACAGCTGTTAAACCCCTCATCGAAAGCACACTAGAGCCCTCAGGGTTCAACAGCTCCATGATTGCACGAAGAACGAAGAAGTCGTAACTGATGCTTAGCAGCCTCTAATGTTCGAGTGGGTGCTAAAGGGAAGGACTTGTTTTTCGCAGCTCACAGGCCGGATACTCTGTTTGAGGAGTTGGAGATTTCAGCTTCTGAAACCTTTTGCACAGCTTTGGCTCGCGCGCACGCGCATCCTCCCTCTCTTTCCTTTCCTGCCTGAGTGCAGCAAAGTGCTGGTGTCGAGATATGCTCGCCTGGATGTGTCAGCCTCGGAGCCCAGAGCTTGGGAGGGTGCCTCCGAGTTTAGATGCAGAGTTCAGTTCAGGGTGTCCGGAAGCGCCAACCCCAGTCCTCAAACGCTTCACCCAAAAGACCCAACCACGCAGCCTGACCTTGAACTACAGGACAGCACACCGTCCAAAATCCTATCCCTCACACAGCCCTGCAGGACGAAACACCCAAAACCTCGAAACATAGCTGCTCTCGCGTGGAAATTCACAATTATCTCATTATCTCTGTACTGTTGTTCAGGGTTGGGCTTGCTATACACACTCTCGAGTCCTGCAGCTACAGCTCCAACCTGACAACCCACTACGGGGTAGTATGCCTGTGCCGTTTCTCTATACTCGAGCTCAAACGTGTCTTGCAAAACCTATTCATCCACTTTTCTTGAGCCATGAGCCAACACGAAAATCTTGCACAGACAAGACCTGAAGCTTTGTCTTTGACTAAAGAACAGAAACAAAACCACTACCGAGCTTTGCCCAAACCCTGCGGCCATCAAGGGCCCGGATCGCCAAACCCTCAGATCCTAAACCCCAAACCGGCAGAACAAACCAATACCTGAAGCACCGATGAAGCCTAATGATCTAAACTCACCCCAACCAAAGAAGACGAGTAACCGAGGGGCTTGAAGAATGGCTATTCATACTATTCCCGAGGGTTCCTGCATCTAATATGTAATACTAGAGTACAGGAGGAGGACGCTCCGCGCCCCTCTCTGACAGTTTCGGAGCCGAGTGTTTGGCCCAAGGAGGCCGTTCTCCGCCAGCTTCAACTCCGGAGTTGCGTAGATATGGAGCTATAGCTACATGGTTGGTTGAGAGATTGGTAGGTAAATAGATAGCAGATGGCTCGATGGATGTAGACATAAATAGAAAGATAGAAAGATGTGGCAGGCAGGTGGGTAGAGACAGTCAGAGCCAGCGAGAGAGAGAGAGAGAGATACCAATGTATCATGCCTATATATATATATATATATATATATATATATATATATATATATATCTATGTAGTATGCAATATACACACACACACGCACACATGCACACAATATTCATAGTCTTTTTCGCTGTAGAATGGGGGTTATGCTGAAGCGAAACACTACGTAGTCACTCTTGCGAGTACTGGAGCTTGGGATTCAGTCTTCAGTTTCTGGAGGTTAGGCTTGAGGAGATTCCTGACTGTGGATGTTCTGCGGGCTCTGCAATTGGGATGGCAGAGCATGCGGGGTGCGGGGCATCGGTCTTCTTCTGAAGTTCGCTGTTGTTCATCCTTTCTGATGTTCCATTTTCGTTGTGCAGACCCTGAACCAGCTCAAGCAGCTGAACCCTCAACTCCAAGCCAGAGAGGCCCCAGAGGCCCTAGATTCCTTTTACGGTCTGGCGTTGGGGGGCTGACGTTCCTCATGCTCGACACCCGAGAACCTCCAGGTCAGAGAGGGCGAGGCGAGGCGGCTGAAGGAGCAAGGGACTCCCGACAGAGTTTCACGTCGATTTGCCATCTTGAGGTTGAGGGAGCTTGGGATAGTGCTCAGGGCTCTGAAATAGGACTTATAGGGTCATTTAGGGAAACCAGTGCAATCTAGCTTTAGAATACCTTGGCGTTCAGAATTTGCCTGAGGTTTCGCATTACTTATAGGGTACAAGCTTTAAAGATAGTTTGGGGTTGAGGATTTAGGGTTCCGTGGTTATCGGCGCGGGTTGGGATTTATACGTTACTTCGGATTGATGGTGTAGAGAAACTAGGGATTGCTGCGTTTTTGTGTGTTCAGGATGCAGGGCTCATGGTATATCTTCGGTTTGAGATAGTAAGACAGGAACATTCAGGGCTTATATAAGGATATCGGTTACGGATTTAGGGCCCGCAAGGCTTGGGGGTTTAGTCGGGAAGTTCGGGGTTCAGGGCCTGCAGTCCAGGATAGGAGATGAACTTCAATGCTTTTGCAGACGGCTCCGGGTCAGAGGCTTTAAGGGTGCAGCGGTATACGAGTTGACCCTGGGGTGATCGTATGCTATATCGGCACGTGGACCCCCGGGCATGGATGGCCTCCGCCCGGAAGCAGTTTGTCCCGAGTTTAAGGAAGTTGCTTCGGGCCTCAAACCCGGAAGCCGAGGAACTCCGGTCTCAAAGAAGGCCGATTTGCCGATGCTCGAGATCTCTACTCATCGGCTCTGGCTTGGTGGCTTGACTAACAAATGTTAAGCAATCGGTTTCGGGCCCTTTAGGGCTTCTAGGGCCTTGGGGTTGGGGCTTTGCGGGTAGTTTCTCTAGGGCTTCTTGAGCCTTTTGGGTTTAGGCTTTCTGGGCTTCTAGGATTTGGTTTCCAGGGTTTTGTCCGGGATGTTACGCGGATTTACGGGGTTTCGGGTTCTAGAGTTTCCCTTTGCGGAAGGAGCCTTCAACTTTGGTTACATCTCACAGCAGAAGCACAAGGTCAGACCCTCAAGCTCTCCAGCCCCTGCTCAGTATGGCGGCCTTGCTATTTTTTGGGTGTCGGTAAACCATATCATACTTCTACAGGGACCATGAGTGGATGTGGATGTTATTTCTAATTGTTCATTTCGACTCTTGACCCGCAACATCTTTCTGAGCTACAACACTGCTGGGTCTTGGCTCTAAGCCCTACACTTTCACTCTGAGCCCTAAATCTGAACCCCTGAGCCGCCAACACAAAGCCCTGCAACCCAGCCTAACTCCTCTGCAGCCCCTAAATCCTCCAGGCTGCCCCCTGCAGAGTCCGACCCTGATCTCGCTGCCGCCCTCTTTGCCAACCGAGCCTTAGCCCAGGCGCGGCTCGGGCTTAGGTTTAGGGTTGTGAGAACAGGGTCGCACTCGCGGGAACCTTAAAGCCGCTCATCTTGATTCCGCTAAGCGTCCGTGGCAAGCAGTCTGTGTGGCATCGAAGACTGTCAAGGCTTCATGCTGGAGTTTATACCCGAGTATCGGTTGTATATCAGATACCTATAAGCTACTGGGTTCAAGCTAAGCTAGCGGGAACCACACAGCAAATTTTCTCCAATACTCTAGTGTCTTTCCAGCGGTTTGTTCCCTGTGTCACAAATACTGCAGTACCTTTAGGCCGGTTTGCTCTTTCATTCTCAAACACTCTAGTCCCTTTCCAGCGGTTTGCTCACGGCTTCTCAAATGATTACACGTAGTCCTTTTCTAAGCAGTTTGCTTATCGTTGTTTCTCAAACACTCTAGTCCCTTTTGGGCCGTTTGTTCCCTGTTTCTCCAAAACTCAAGTCATTTGTCATTAGCGAGCACTCTCCTTCCTTTCGCGCGGTTTGCACCTTGTTTCTCAAACACTCGAGTCATTTCGCGCCGTTTGTTCGCTGTGTCTCAATTACTGCAGTCCCTTTCGGTCGGTTTGTTCCGCGTTCCCCTTCGAGCGGTGTGCTCCCTGTTTCTCAAACACTGTGGTTTGCTTCCTTTCGTGTGGTGTTCGCCTCGTCTCTCAAACACTGTAATCTGTTTTGAGCGGTTCGCCTGCTTCACAAATACCCTTGTACTTTTCGAACGGTTTGCTCCAGGATTTCAATCAGTTGACTCAAACACACCCATCGCTTTGGAGCGGTTTGCTCCTTGTCTTTGCAAAGCTTAGTCACTTTAGTCCCTTTCGAGCAGGCTCCTGGTTGTTTCACAAATACTCTAATCCCTTTCGCGCAGATTGCTCCGCGTTTCTCAAACAAACACTTTGGTTTGTTTCGAGCGGTTTGCTCCTTGCTTCTCAACTATTCTATATAAACCCTTTCGAGCAGCTTGCACCCAGTTTCTCAAACACTCTAGTTGCTGTTGAGCGGCTTGCTCCCTGCTTCTCAACTACTCGAATCCTGTCGAGCGGTTAGCTCGTTGTTTCTCAAATACTCTAATCCCCTCGAGCTGACCCCTTTTTCGAGCCTTGTGATCCCTGTTTCTGAAACATTTCGAGCTGTTCGCTGTTTGTTCCTCCAATAGTCTAGTCCCTTGGAGCGGTTTTTGAACGCTCCACTTTTTTCAAAAACTGAAACCTTTGTTGTGCAGTTTGCTTCCTGTTTCTCCAATACTATAGTTCCTTTTGAGCGGTTTGCTCCCTGTCTGCATGTGAAATACTGCAGTATTTTTCGAGCGGTTTGCCTGTTGTTTTTGTAAATACTCAGGTTCATCTCGAGCGGTTTTCTCACTGCTGCTCAAACACTCTGGTCCCTTTCGAGCTGTTTGCTCCATGTTTCTCAAACACTCTGGCGGTTTGCTCGCTGCTTCCCAAACACCGTAGTTCTGTCGCGCGGTTTGCTCCTCGTTTCTCATGTACGCTAGTCCTTTTCGAGCGGTGTGCTCCCTGTGTCTCAAATACTGCCGTCCCTCTTGGGCGAATCGCTTTCCACTCTCGTCCTTTTCGAGCGGCTTGCTCCCTGTTTCTCAATAAGCAGTCTATTGTCTTTGGAGCGGTTTGCTGCCTGTGCCTCAAATCCACTAGTCACTTTCGAGCGGTTTGCTCACTGTTTCTCGCATACTTTAACCTGTTTTGAGCGGTTTGCGTCCTGTTGCTTGAATACTTTATAGAGTCTGGAGTCTGAATCTAAGTGTATGGCATGCAGTGCCTAGTCCTTTCAAACTTATACTGCAAGGGCGTGAAGATCTTGGTATTTCGTAACTACTAGATACAACACCCGAAAACCAAAAGCAGCTCGAAAACAAAAAGCAGAAGGGACCTGAAAAGGCTGCCATGGCTGCGCCTCTCTCGTACCCCGCGCGCCTTCACCTAGCGCCGTTCTCGCGACCTCGCGCAATCACCTCACGAAATCGCGCGGCGCCTTACCTCGCGGCCTCGCGCCCTGACCTTGCGGGCCTATGATAAAGCACAAGAAAATGCTGTCTTAAACTATACCTTTGACCGAGAACCCTATAGGCCTGAATGCCAAAAGAAACCTGACCGAAGGTGAAGCTGCAGCGCTGGGACGATGCACGAGCGGACTGCGAGCAATCACTGCGGCTGGCACCAGGCAGTGCCAAGGCCTTCATCGGATTTCTGAAGATCTAGAGCTTTGGGATGCAATTGTCGTAGCAACAGGGCTTCTGGGTCGGTTCAGATGGGGGTGCATGAGTTAAAGGATTTACGAGTTGTTCAAGGTTGGGTGGAGCTTGATACATGGGTTCAGGACATTTGGTTTTGTAGAGTGTAAAGTTTTAGCGAGAGGAATCTATTGAGATTCCTTCCTGCAGCTGTCTCACGAATTCTCGGCACAGGTTCCGACACTAATCAACGAAACAGTAAGACAAGAAAACCGGAGCTCTCACAGCTCTAAAATGCCCGGAACCCTAAACGACCAGGACTCTTTCCGCGGCCCTCGATGTCGGCCATGAACTTGGAATCTATAGGCCCGAATCACTTAACTTGATCATCAAGCTAGCATTCTGAGGTCAGCCCGAAGCCCGGACTTCAAGACTATTCTGTCAACGTAGAAAAGGCCTGAAAGGCTGCTCAGCTTGGTTCGCGTGATCTTCTCGGTATCGTTCCAAGTTTATCGGAGGGCCATGAACCGCGGAGGCTTACCGCACTTTTCGCCTAGCACACAAAGTTCGGAGACTTCTGAACGGCTTCTGTCTACCGATTATGGCAAACTGAAGCTTGCTTCTGCTGATCATGGCACCCCAAGGTGCTGGCTATGCCGATCATGACATGCGCTTTGAACAGCATCAGCATCTCGTACACAAGGTTTCCATGCTAAACATGAGGGCTTTCACACTCCTCCTTGATTTCCATTGTTCAATTGAAGTCACATAGCAGAGAATCGTATGAACCATTGGTTCTGGTGTTGCAAAACTGCTCCACAGTTTGCTGCATGCAAACAGGTATCTAAAGCGACAGCCGTTCAAAAGAGACAAATTCTAGCCATTCACCTCGTGTTCTCAAAACGGAGAGTTCGTCTGGCAGATCCGTCATGAGCTCCCTTCTGGTAAAGGGGATGTTGCCTGCTGCAGAAATTGCATAAGCGATGCTGTGTAATCTGATGCGACGCCAACCTAAATCCCTGACAGTTTGGATTCACATGCACAGTATCACCATACTCTGAGCGAAAGAAGGGACCATCAAAGTGCACGTACCAATCGTCGTCTTGGATCGTCGATCTCACTTGGCGCGGAAGCGTCACCACCACAGGTGCTGACACTCTTATCCAGTCCTCAGTCTGTGTCGCAATTGATCGTTGCCGCACTTCCAGGGAGGAAGGAAACCATGCAGTGCTTGACATAGCACCCAATGTAGATTGCCTCGCTACCGCCTTAGGTTCAGGACTCAGGGCCTTGTCGACTTCAGCCTCTGCTGCAGCCCTTGCAAGGTCCCTGAGCTTCTTAGCCTTCCGACCACGTACTGGACGACAGAAGCAAATCCACAACTGCTTGCCCACCGCCTTCACAATCTCCCATGCCAAAATAGCAGCCGCACATGCCAGAATCGTTACGAACACCAACTCATCAACACCAGCAATTTTCACAGAATCCTTAGCGTCTTCGGTATCCGTAGCCGTTGCCTTCGGCAACGTTTCCAGCAATCGAAACAGGCACATGATCGCAGTCATAAAGCCTCTGCTTCTTGTGGGAATTGCTCGAACCTCCACAGCTTCAGCAAAGCATACAACCTGGCCTTCGAATGAACCTTAGTCGACAGGTCCGCTCGTTGCTTCACCCCATCCACATGTTCCACATGGAGCTTCTTTTCTTGCACCCTCTGGATCAAGTAGGCTGAACGGACCTTTAAGTGCCTTGTGCGCCAACTCCCCGGTCCTCCAAGAATCATTGCTGTAGCCGCAGAATTGTCAACACACAGCGTTCGAGGCACCACAAACTGCGCTAGCTCGTCCAAAAGCACACCCACATTTTCCAGAAGAACAGCGGCCTCCGTGGCTTGATAGAGCTCCGACTCCATGATCGAAAGCATAACGAATGTTTGTTTTCCGCAGCGCCAGCTAACGGGCGAATCTTCCACTGTAATGAAATGAGGGATGCTCCAAACGACTTATCGCCAAACGGTGCATAGCTAGCGTCAGAAAAACCCACTAGTTTAAGACCACTAAAACCGGTGGGCTTGGTTGTTGCTTCTGTGCCCTGCTGGGTGCTGCTGCTGGCTGCTGGAGCTTGCTTCATTGGCTGTCCAAGGACCATTCTCATGCCCGCCGTCTTGTGCAAGTAGGCCAACATCCTGTAGGCAATCTTGGTCACTCGCCTTGGATGCCTTGCAACCCAACTGGCCATGTAGCTTACCGTGAAGTGAACATCTGGACGGCAACGCATTGCTAGCCATAGTTGCTCACCAACTAACCGTTGGGCCAACCGTAGGTCTGCTTCACTGAACTCCTCGGCCTCCGTGTCCACATTGTCTGTAATCCACTCCTTCGGGCAAGGAAGAGTCTGAGGAGCCTCCAACATGTCGTGCCCTCGAATCAAATCCATGATATAACCGTTCTGGGTCACCTCATACTCTCCCGTCTCCCTCTGGAAAATCTCCATTCCAAGGTACCGAACTCCAGGAGAAACAGAAGCCCATTGTAGTTCAGAGCACGGCCATTGATCATGCACCCACTCGTGGAGAATCTTCACAATCTTCTCAGGGCCCATGTAGAACAGGTCGTCCACGTAGGTGATGATAAGCGCAAGTAGAGAACCACGCACTTGCAAGTCTCCACCTTGATCTACTGCATACCACAACTCAGAGTCTGTTTTTGACTGCTGTAGCGTGATGAAACCATCAACATACGGAATCTTCAAAGTCCTCAACCGTTCATTGCGATAGTTGGCCCATATGGATGGTGACTCTCGCAGTCCGTAAAGTGGACGGCATACCAGCCAAGCCTCTCCATCTTCTGCGTACTCCAATTCTTGTAGTAGTAGACGAGGTGGCACCACCGCATACATTGGAAGTCCTTCTGGCCATTCTGCTTGAATGAAAGCGGAAACGATGTCTGTTGTTGCACCCAGCCAGCCCAAGCTTGTCGTAGCAGCCAACAAAGTTCGAAGGCTCTCTGCTCCAACTCCCCCGGCATAGAGGGAACCTTGGGACTCACTGGGATCCACAAAGTTCCCGCAGAGAACAAGTCTGTATTTTCTCTTGAAACCGTGCCCTTTCTCGGCTGGAGGCTTGATTGTGCGAACTCCTTTGCCGGGGACAAGTCGTAGTCGCCCTTCTGCTTCCATTCTTCGCGCTTGTGACATCTTGACCCTTTTGAGGGTCCCAGTGTTGAAGAGGTTGGAGATTTCCTTTTGGATTGCTGCCCCCCATTTTTCAGCAACTGGCTTCACTTGACACAAAGGCACCGTGTGAGTCACTTGAAGATCTTCTTGAAGGCCTTCCAACAACTTCTCATAGTCCTGGTCCACTGATTCAGGCGAGATTGCAGGAAGGTAGTAACTCTCAGTCTCATCACGTCGTTGAGTCTCCTTCTTGATCTTCACCGCCAAATTGTCAAGGACTTGCATGATCTGACCATGTGCTTGCCGAGCAGTTTCCAAGCATCCCACCTGGGTAGACCTGAGGTCATCTAATCGTTCCTCCTCCTCCTCCTCAAGTAGGTCTTGAAGCAGTGCTGATCGGTCCAACATCTCCTCAAGCATCTGTTGTTGGTACTCATTTGTTCGAAGTAGAGCACCATCTAACACATCTTCTTCGCTCACTTCAGGATCAAGTTGGGAGCATGACACCAAAGCTTCGCCGGCCTCAACAACCAACTGCTGCTTGCACCATGCAACATCCACCTTCGACGAAACATGAAGACCAGGATCTCGTTCCGGGACATTGAACCCAAGCTCTCGTAGTCTCTGCTTGTCTTCCATGTTCAACTTAGTGGTCCTCGGGGTATACGTCATCATCACAACACGGTCACCCTCAAAGTCCTGAGTCTCATGCCATTTCCTCGGGTTGAAAAACACTGGGGATCCGAGCTCCAGATCTTGAACACCACCTTGAACGACTCTTCCAGGAAGGACTTCTCGACACTCAACTCCACGACCTTCGATCCATATACCTCCACGGTTGAAATCTGTCAGGGCAATGACCGCATTCTCAGAACCCGCTTCATTGTGAGAACCCCGATGAGCTCTAAGCTTGGCTCCATGCGTGATGGCAACAACCGCAAACTTGTCACTACCAGTCAACTCCTTCGCCGCCTTCACCAAGAAAGCCGTAGTCGATGGAAGCCTCGTAGTCGTTGTTCTCAGGCCTGAAACGCCACCATGGGTGAACATTCCGGTCGTCCATGATGTTGAACTCGTAGTCGATTTTCTTATGACCGCCTTAGACCCTTGAAGCCGCGTGCGCTCCAACATCTCATAGATCCGAAGAACAGCCTCTTCATCATACTGCTCATCAACATCATAGTTCACTGCCATCTGCTCAATCTCTTGTTCCAACAGAGTCAACGGACGCATAGCCATCAGTCGTGACTTTTCTCTGATACGACGACCTGGTACCCTGCTCACATCATATGCTCCAGATCCTTCTCGCTCTAACGGTTCGGGTGCTACGACTTCCCCTTCAGGACCCAGTGGTGGACCTCCAGACTTGGAATCTCTCGTTGGTAGTGGCATATCTCCCACCTTGGGTACTACGACTTCCCCTTCAGGACCCAGTGGTGGACCTCCAGACTCGGAATCTCTTGTTGGTAGTGGCATATCTCCATCATCTCCTTGAGCGATCGTAGATTTTGTTTTCACTCGCGAGAGTGGAGCTGGGAGGATCGCCTCAGCACCTTCAGGCTTGATGTACTTGTCGACATCAACAAGATTGGTCTTCATGTGCATGGTAGTAAGGTACCGTCCATTGCAATCCCTCACCACAAAGCCACCCTTGAGCTCAGTCGCCGGTCCAACAAACTGTCCATTATCCCACTTGCTATTCAAGTCGAACTTGCCCCCGACGCCAAAGACCTTAGCCTTGATAGCCACAGGAGCCCCGAACGGCACAATTTGTGCCCCACGTCCCAAGGCGGTTTCTCTCTGCGCCCATGCAGCATGTCCCATAGCAAGCGGCCAACACGACCGTGGCAACGAGGAGGTCTGCAAAAGCGTCTTAGCCCTTCGCTTCAAAGCCTTCACAACCTGCTCCGCCTTGCCGTTGCTCTGGGGTACCTGCGCCTCTCCTGTTGTAGGGTACACTTCCCTTTCGAGCAACCATTGTCGAATCCCATGACCTCTAAGCTCACGCGCACGATCACTATGCACTCGTTGAACTGACAAGCCCTCCGACCTGATCTGAACGTAGAGCAACCTGATCGCCGCTTCAACCTTCGGGGCCTTGCGAGACTTAAGGGGGATCATGTAGTGAAGGTTCTGGTACTCAAGAGTGTCCCCAATCTCCCGGAACAACTTCGCGAAGTCCGCATTGGCCTTGTCCATTTCCTCTCGGTCCTCTCGAGAAACATCAGGCTGCACTTCGTCGCCTTCAACAAGAAAATCAGGCTCCTCCTCAACTGGTATCTCACCAACACCACATCCATCATCCCCTTCTCCTTCTTCATCTTCGGGGATCTTGTAGTCGCGAAAGCCCTGGAGCTTCGGCATCGTGTAGACACCCACCAGAGCGTAGCGGTATCCCTTCGCATCCGCCGTCTCGCCGTGCACCCGAAAAGGTCCACACAGGTCCAATCCCAACGTGTAGCAGTTGGGTGCAATCACTCGACGATGACTCCGGCCCGTGGCGGCCGTCTCTATACATGTCCTGCACCTCTTGTTGTAAGGAAGGTGACCGTTGGCAACATGTCGCCTCCATTTCCGCAATTCTTCAGGACCCCAAGGTGAATCCGGAACAGCTCCGCTGCACAGGACAAGTGGCTCGGGTCTCTTACGCCAACGCTCAACTCCAGAGGCAATCATCCGCACAAAACTCCTTGACCATGTCCTTGACGAGCTGCTGGTGGGATCAACCTGAGGTCCCCAACCTGGATCATCTCCTCCTGAAAGTATTAGATTGGTTGCCAGACAGTAGGCTTCATTCGCACCCTCAGGGGAGACATAAGAGGCTGGGAGTTGGTACTCCCGTTGAAAACCTTGCCACACAGTCGTAGTCCACATCCTTGATGTGGGACTGGAGGTAGTAACGAGGTACGGACTGACGCGATGATTCACTCGAGCGCCCTCCTTGGCCAGCATCCAAATCAGCAGCTGGCGCGAGAACAGTTCCAAGCAGGAATTGCTAGGTGGTGAACCACAAACTCCTTCAATCTGACCCCTGCACGCTGCCCAAACCAACGCCTTGTACGCTGCACTGTCACCCTTGAGGTTAAACATCTTGCTGCGGTTCAGATTGAAGTTCACCAAAACCTCAGAGTTGGTCTCCATTCTCTTCAAATCTTCTGAAGTTTCGTTGTCGCGTTCAAACAATCGAACCATCCATCTCTTTGTCAGCAAGCATTTCCTCTGTGAGCTGCGGATTGGAAGGGCCTTGAGGTATCTCGCTCCCGCCTCATCACTCAGATCAACACCCACTGCAAGCATCGACCTCATCGACTCGTCAAGTCCTTGGAGAGGGCATCCGGGAGACTCCAGCGCCTGCAGCAGATGGGCCCTGTTTCCGCTCTGCACGTAGGCGGCAAACATCTCGTCCCAATCCTTCACCTCCGAAAGGCTCAAAGTTCCCAGGAAGGTCTCCGCCGTGGCCTCTCTCAGTTCCTGCAACTTCTTCTGCTCGAGCTGGTGGATCAAGTCCAATGCCTGGGTCTCGCCAAGCAACGGGCAATTGCCCCTCACCACCGTTTTCAAAGTCCCAAACTGTGGGTGAACTATTCTCAGGCCATTCTTCTTCGACCAAGACAACTCGCACCCCAACGTCTGGACCAAGGCTCCCATCGGAAGGATCGTTGACAGGTCCTGAGCATTCTCAGCATCCGTTGTTGGCAACAGCGTTCCAGCCTTATTTTGCTTGAGAGTCACCGACTGACCTCCTGCAAGTTCCACGCGCACTGGTACTCCATCAGTTTCATGAAGAGCCCGCTCTCGAAAGGGGTGTGAGGCATCACTGTCAAGCAGCGCCATCCGCTCCTCCTCAGCAAAGCCCAAGCCAGCCATCTGAGCCGCAAGCTCCTTCAAAGTCCTGTCTGAAGACACCTGCAAAGCCTGCAGTCTGGTCAGTCTGTTTAGCATAGCATTGGCTTGTTGTAGAAGAGCTCCAATCTCCTGAGTTCTTTCATCGTTGCCCGGGTGATCCAACGTAGACGCCGTAGACATATCAGATGAAGTCACCGGGATCGCCGGAGTGCTGGGAGTTGCCGTAGAAGTCTCCGTAGGCACCGCCGTCAAAGTTCCCGGTGTCGCACTTGTCGTTGACGTGGCCGCAGCTCCCATGACAGCCTGAATTGACTCCATGATGGCTTGTTGTTGTTGCGCTGTCACCTGATTCAAGGTTGGGTTGGTAGTAGAGGAGGTCGTAGATGTAGTGGTTGGCCTTCCCCTGGTTGGAGACACTGGTTTGCCAGACTTCACGGGGCATTCCTTCTGAACATGCTTGGTGGAGCCGCAAAACCAACAGCGGCTTTTCTTGGCCTCCTTGTTGGGCAAGGTGTGGTCGAACTTGCAAGCCTGCCCCTTCGTGCATCCATTGTCTGATGCAAAGAAACGAGACGGCACCTTTCCAGTTGCCGGTGAAGTATCCCCAGCTCTCCGTGATGGAGAGCCCGACTCTCCAGTTCCAGCACCATTGGTTGTAGCATTCATGCCCTTCAACTTCGTCCCATCTGGATTCACATTGGTACCCTGGGAGCCCTGCGATCTTGCCGGAGCCGCCTGTTGAAGTTCAGCGAGCACGTGGTTGTAGTACTTCAAGACATTCTCCAACGTCGGCCTGTACTGCAACTGAAGTGGGGACTTGGAGAGGGAGAGTCTGAATTTGATCTCCGAGTGAGTCTCAAGCGACTTAGCTGCCATTGTTTCTACAGCTCGTAGTAACACCGAAGGGTCAGGGATGGCTTCATGCATCTCGTCTGCTCGTTGAAGGTGTCTACGCCACCTCCTGAGCGCAGCCACTGTCTCAGAAACATTTCCTGTTCCACTGCTTCCTTCGAGGTGCCTCATGATAGAGGCTCGTTCCGCGCTGCCTCCAGGAGCATAAAGAACATGTAGTCTGAAAAGGAGGCCGCTGACATTCGAGATGCGGTGGGTAACAGCGTCATCCTTGGCTTGCCGCTGCAGCGTTGCAAGAAGCAACGTGAGAACACGCCGCTCCAGGCGAGACCATCGTTCATCCTGGAGCTCGGGAGGTCTCATTGGCTCAAGAGTCAAGCGAGCCCAGGGATCGCTCATCTGGTAGACTTCGTAGTTTTCCCTCGCACACTTCAGACACATGGAGAACCAGCTCGCCGCGCGATCGCTCAGCCCTCCCACTGCCTGCTCCGTCTCATACAGCCAGTCCGAGAAGCTAACCGCACTGTCAGCTGTCACTTCTGGCATCGGTGGCAGCTCCACGCTGCCCTTCATCTCAGAGTCTCGCGACTCCCCTTACCCATATAAACTTGTTGAAGTTGCCTCATGCCCTGCACAAGCAGCTGAAGAGGCCCCTGATCGCTTCCACGTCCCTCCGCCCGGTACTGAAGCACGCAACAAACTAGGTGCTGGATCACCAAGATGCCCGCTAAAACCTCCACCGACACCAAGAGGATCTCCTCCAAGGCTTCCTTGTGGTTCCTCTGGCCTCCCGGCTGAGGCGCTCTGCATCTCACCTTCACGGGAAGATCTCATCGTCCTGTTTGCCTCCACCAATGCTCGTTCTAGCTCCACATTCCGTTGCTTAAGCGAAGCCACCTCCTGATCACGGCCCTGCATTGCCATAGCCACTTGCCTCTTGACTTCATCCATAATCATCTCCTGGTTCAAACTACTAGATGAAGCCTCTTCTTCTTGCCGGCGGTGCTGTGGACTTATCAACGAAGGTCGAGTTCGATGGGCCTCCATAGCCCGTTGAACCTCCGAAGAGAAGAGAGGACCTGTCAAAGATCCAGCGGGTCCCTGGCCATTTGTTGAGCTGGTAAGACTTCTGCCCGCGCTAACCACCGCAGCAACCACACGTCTCTGAAACATCTCCCCAAAGTTCATCCACACACTTCTAGCGTTGCCCTCATGAACTTCCTGACTCTGTGCCGACACAAAGCTCTGTGCCGAAGTCATAGCTCCCGGAGAAAGAAACTGATCATTCTCAGGTCCTGTTTGTTCATCACCCTGGGGTAGCACTGCTTCATGCCCTCGAGCTTCAAGCTGTTGTTCAATCTCCTGGAGAGCCATCGGACGTCGTGGAGCAGAGAGGCGCAAGGGAGGAAATCGGGAATCCCGTGGTTGCTGAGGTTGTTCCATAGGTCCCGAAGTTCTCATAGGGTCACTTCCTGCATCCCCCTGACGCCCAAACTGAGGTACACGATCCGCCATAAACGCTGACCGAGGAATCTGTGAAGGTTCCGTTTGCATAGAAGCTGGGATACTCGTATTCTGGAGAGGCTCTAGTGTAGCTGCAGGTTGTTGCGGAGCTGGTGTGGTCACTGGCTGCTGCGAAGATGGTGCTGCTGCGGGTTGTTGCGAAGGTTGCCCAGCTGTTGGCCCCTGCGAAGCTCGTGCTGCATGTTGGTGCGGCGCTTGTGCTGCGGCAGGTTGCTGTGAAGCTGGTGCTGCTGCTGTCTGCTGTTGAGCTTGTGCAGCTTCCAGCGGTTGTGATGCACCTGTTACCCCACCTGCATTTCTAACACCAGCTATGAAATCACTTTGCGATCCCACAGAACTTGCCATAGAACCATACGCGCCGGATCCGGTTGCAGCTTCTGCATTCACATGCCCTGGCCCGCCAACCCTCGTAGAAGTCCCATTTAGCAACCCTTGTTCACCTTGCACCTGTCCCTGAGGCCGTGCATAATCAGGGCCTGCCACCTCTCCGTCCAGAGCCGCCGGCTGATCCGTAGATTGGGCGCTCATAACCTGAAAACGTAGAAAAGGCCTGAAAGGCTGCTCAGCTTGGTTCGCGTGATCTTTTCGGTATCGTTCCAAGTTTATCGGAGGGCCATGAACCGCGGAGGCTTACCGCACTTTTCGCCTAGCACACAAAGTTCGGAGACTTCTGAACGGCTTCTGTCTACCGATTATGGCAAACTGAAGCTGGCTTCTGCTGATCATGGCACCCCAAGGTGCTGGCTATGCCGATCATGACATGCGCTTTGAACAGCATCAGCATCTCGTACACAAGGTTTCCGTGCTAAACATGAGGGCTTTCACATATTCCTATGTTGAAAGGCTCTGCCCTATCCAGACCCAAGACGACTAAAAGCAAGTCACCGTTTCAAGGCTCTTTGAAGTCCCTGAACTAAACACCCTAAACCCCAATAATTCTCAGCCAGGTTGAACCTCGATTTCAAGACTTTTGAAAGCGAGCCCGGAAAAATCCAAACCCCTACACCCTAAACCCTCAAGACTAATTAAACCGTATACCGTAAACGGCAGGTGCACTTCCGCCTTGGCTTGGCATGGCAAAACCTCGGAGACCCCTTCGCCGCGGCCGCGAACTTCCGGGCGGCTTTGGACAAAGAGCCGCTGGCCCTACGTTCAAACATTTAAAAGGTTTATAGGTTTTGGAAGGCAAACGGTTCAGGGTGTGGCGGTTGGGTTTAGAGCTTAGGGTTTCAGAGGAATTTAGAGCTTGGTTTGGTTTTGGCTTGAGTTGTTCGAAGGTTTTCGGGATTGGGGTCAGGGTGTAGATGTGGCATGTGCAGGATCTGGGGGTGCAGAGTAATGGCCGCAGAGAGCCCCCATAGCCTTAGCCTGGGCCCTATGACACCATCTGTTGAGTGCGTTGCTCGCGAGTTTCCGGCACGGAGGGTGTGTGTTGCTCGTCATTGGGCAGGTATCACTTTCCTGTTTGTCATGCCACTCTTTGACATTAGTTCCCTGATGCACCGGCTCGTATGCGTACAAATTGGTGTGCTGATGCACCGTCTCGAATGCGTGTTTAAGCTCTTAATCCGAATTAAATCCTAAACCTCAATCAAGTTATATATATATATATATATCTATACATGTATACACCCCTGAGGCCAGATGACTGCGTAGCGAAGCAAGCACTGGTCTCTGCCACCGCCGCAGCGACAAAGCCTAAATCCAGCGAGGAACCTCCAGAGTGAGGGTTTCCTTTAAAGGTTCCTTCGCATTGCAGGGTTAGGGGCTTTAGGGTTCAGGTAGGGCCCCGTAGAGAGACCGAGGATTTAAGTTATCCTGTCGCAGCTTCAATCATGCGGTTTGTGTGAAGGGCATGGCTCGGGGGAAGTGGAGGGTTGTGGTTCAGGGCCTTGTGGCTTAGGCTGCAAGGTTTTAGGGTCTGTGGCACATGGTTTTGGCTGCTCCTGTCACCCCTGCATTCGATATTAAACTCCTGGTCGCCCAAAACTTCAACCGATACATGCCCGCGGCCCGGGCAAATTAGATCCAATATTCCTTGGAACTTCAACGGTAAAGGCTCCTATCCCTGAAACTGATGGTTTAGCCTTCTACTTGAGCCCGGAAATCCAATCCGACTACGACTACGACGACATACTACCGACTATGCACTAGGCACTGCGTCCTTCTCCTCCTACTGCTACTGCTACTGCTGCTCCTGCTTCTACGATTACTGATATTCCTACTCCCACTCCTCTCCACTCCGACCCCTACCCCTACCCCTACTCCTGCTCCTACTCCTACTCCACTCCTTCTCCCACTCCCACTCCCACTCCCACCCCGACCCTACCCCCACTGCGACTCCTGCTCTTGCTCCTGCTCCTACTCCTCCTACACGAACTCCCACTCCACTCCCACTCCCACCCCGACCCCTACCCCCTACCCCTGCTCCTACTCCACTCCTACTCCATCCTACTCCGACTCCTGCTCAACTCCCACCTGACCTTCCCCTACTCCACTCCGACTCCTGCTCCTACTCCTTCTCCTACTCCACTCCCACTCCCACCCCCCTACTCCTACTCCGACTCCCGCTCCTGCTCCCACTTCTACTCCGACTCTTACTGCTCCTGCTCCTGCTCCTCCTCCTCCTCCTCCTCCTCCTCCAACCACTAGTACTACCACTACCACTACCGCTACCACTACTACTACTACTACTACTACTACTACTACTACTACTACTACTACTACTACTACTACTACTACTACTACTACTACTACTACTACTACTACGACGACGACGACTACTACTACTACTACTACTACTACTACTACTACTACTACTACTACTACTACTACTACTACTACTACTACTACTACTACTACTACTACTACTACTACTATTACTACTACTGCTACTGCTACTACTGCTACTACTGCTACTACTCCTACTACTGCTACTACTGCTACTACTGCTACTACTGCTAGTACTCCTACTACTGCTACTACTGCTACTACTGCTACACTGCTACACTGCTACACTGCTACTGCCACTGCTACAGTGTGTTGGGAAACGAATCGCGCAATTTGGGAGCAAGATTTTGCTAATCTTGCTATTCTTGCACCGCCAAGATTAGCAAGATTGCCCCCCGCCCCCACCCGAAGTGGTGCACGTGGTGCAAGTGGTCTACTAGGTTACTACTGTGGTTGTCAGTCTTCGGCTGCAGGATGGCTTGCCGACCTCCAAGGACGTGCCCAAGGGCCTTAGATGGCGCCTGGCGCGCTGCCAGGAGGGCTACGTGCCTGGTTCGCAAAAGAAGGGTTGATAGCGTTTCGTAAGGAATTATCGGGCTTTTAGATAAGAGCTTCAAAGGGTGTTAAACTATACATGTTTAATTACTACTATGAAGATTATGAATGAAAGCATGTTATGCACTGAAATGGCAGCCTCACGGCACCTGCGTAGCAAGAGCCCAGGAGCTGCCACGGCTGCAGCAGAGTCCCGGCTGCGGAAGAGCACAAGTGACCCCAAGAAACATCAGGGATAGCAGCTTCAGCAGCTTCAGCTTGAGGATTCCGGGGTTTAAGGTTTCGCAGCTTAGCAGGATTTGAGGGCTTTGAGCGCTCCAGGGTTTAGGGTCCCAGTCCCACATTGGTGCGTGTGGCTTGCTTTGCCCACAGGGGAGGGGGGACGCAGCCGCCAAAATAGCTTGGGAATGGACCCGGCGCGAATGTTTTCTGCGGTGGTCCTGCATTGGTCGAGACCTGCTCATGCCTTGCTTTAGGCCTGAGGCGCTAGAGCCCATGGTCATGGACACATGTCTTTTCTTTTTGGAGTCCGGCGGTCCATGATTGCTGCGACTCATCGCTGGCGTCGCGCGGTCAGCCAATCCTATAGTGGGGTGGAATAATCGGAACGGTCCCGTTGTAAAGTTTTGAGCCTGGCCCTTCTTCTGCTAGCAACGTGTGCCTCTTCGAAGTTCACCATAGATCACCGATGGTCCCCCAGATTCCTCGCGGTGTTTGTCTGATGTTTCCCTCACAGTACGCATCATCGTCCTTTACAAGCCACAGCAGCAGCAGTGTGCGGCTTGCTTTGCAAAGCTTGTACTTTGATAGCCACTTCGACGGCTTATAACAGAAGCTGTGTTATCGAAGTTTGCACCGGTTTCTGACACCAGACCTAGGCCCATTCAGCCAGAAGTTAGAACTGGAACACAGAGTCAGGATTTGGCGAGACCTGGGCACGGACACTGCCAGCCCCTCCGGGATATCTGCAGGGCGCGCAGCCACGGCAGGGCTGCGCCATGCATGGCGGCAGGAGACTCAGTGGGATTTGGTGTAGGGTTTCACAGACCTGGTATTTAGATGGCCCATCATCCCCCTTTGAACGCGACAAGAGGAACTTTTTGAGTTGTCAGATAATGGTGCACTGTGAAAGCTTTTGATAAGGAATCGTCCGTCTGAAGCGAGGGTCAGGAAATTAGTTAATCGGGCATCTCGGACTAAGACATCTTGGTTTAGTCTCAACTCTCAAAGAGACATTTTTTATTGCGACATGGGTAGTTTGTGCTGGGCTGGTTCTGGGCCTTGGGGCTGCACTGGACAAGGCAAAGCGCTCCTACCACACTGTGGTGGGCGGGTTTTGGGCTTGGGGCTGGGTTGGACAAGGGAAAAGCTCTTCCCACAGCGTGGGCTGGTTTGGGGCTTGGGGCTGGACAAGGCCCAGGCACAACGCTCCCTTTGCCTTGTCCAACCCAGCCCCTAATTAAACCCAGCCCGAAGGCCAAAACCGCCTAGCACAATGTCGTAGGAAAGTCTTGCCTTGCACAAGCGCTGTAAATGCAAAACCCAGCCGGAAGGCCAAAACCGGGTGTGTGTGTGTGTGTGTGTTCTCATTGCCACGTCTGTCCCAGGCTGCAACCCTAAACCGTATAATCCCTAATCCCAAGCAATTAGAACGATGAATTGTCTGGAACCCAAAGTCTGGATTTCTAAATCTATTCTAGCTTCAGACTCGATTTTCTTACTTGATAAAATTTCTTATCACAGCACTGCACCGTACTTCTATCCAGCCAGGCTGAGGACCAATATGTGGTGCCACAACTGTCTAACACCGTCAGCCCTGAACATGTTGTGAGTGCTGCAGAGTTTAGAGGTGCAGAGTCTTTCGCAAAAGCAGCATCATCGTTGTAAGATGCAGGCCCTTAGAAACCCAATGCCCAAAGAGGCTTAAAAGCTCGACTGTTCTGGGTGTCGATCCGAGGCTCAAAACAGGACCCATGAACGTTAAAGAGTGCAGGATTTGGGGCCTGTCAGTTTGTAGAGTTCAGTCAAAACGGAGCCCTAAGCTACAGGTTGCAGCGGCCACTGGTGGACTTCTACCGCTGCAGCCTTGAAGCCTTTGGGTGCTCGCAGAAGCCTTGCATTCATGTCACCCGGCCCTGCCTTAGACTAAGGAGTTTACCCTGGACCATGGAGTCTATAAAGTTCTGTGAAGGCGGAGTACTATTCGAACGGTTTGTTATGGCCCGCTTGATGTCATTTCGGGCCGGTGGGTTGAAGTTCGGGGAGCTTGAGACTACCGGAGTCTAGTGGAGGGGATTTAGGTCGAGGGCTTAAGGCTGGAGTTGAGACTTTAACAAATTTTGGGGAGGGTTGAGCTTGGGGGCTTTAGGGGTATAGAGTTAAATTTTAAGAGACTGTTTGCCTGGGGATTCTAGGGCCTGGGGGTTTGGAGCTAACTTCAGGATTGGGTTGCGGGGCTTCAGGGCCTTTGTTGCTGGTTTGGGAAGAATACGGCCTGGAGGGTTTCGGCTTCAAGTGGCTTCAAGGCAGCCCCAAGGTCAGGGCGAAATTCAGCAATCAACGAGTGAAGACGCCCTCCACAAGGAAAGTGAGAGAACGCAAGATTTGCCAATATTTCCCTAGCATACTGACGAGCTGAGCCGGCTCAGCTCAACCCGAGAGGGCCATAGCGTGGTTCAACACATCTCCAATCCCGGAACTCTTTGAATTTTCAGTGTTCGCCCAATGGTGTATTTCAAGCGTCGCACCGTACCGAGGGCGTTGTAGTTGTAGTGGTAGCAATAGCAGCAGAATCAGCATTGCAGCAGCAGGCACAGTGGCAGTGGAGGAGTAGCAGCAGGAGTAGGAGTAAGAGTAGGAGCAGGAGCATGAGTAGGAGTCGGAGTGGGAGTAGGAGTAGGCGTAGGCGTCGGAGTCGGAGTCGGAGTAGTAGTAGGAGTAGTAGTAGTAGCAGTAGTAGTAGTAGTAGTAGTAGTAGTAGTAGTAGTAGTAGCACTGGTAGCAGTTGTAGTGGCAGTGGTAGTAGCAGTAGTAGTAGCAAGTAGCAGTTGCAGCAGCAGCAGCAGCAGTAGCAGCAGTAGCAGCAGTAGCAGTGGCAGAACCAGAAGCAGTCGGAGTAGGACTCGGGGTAGGGGTAGGAGTAGGAGATAGCAGTAGGAGTAGGAGCAGGATGAGTAGCAGCAGTAGTAGTAGTAGTAGTGGTGGTAGTAGTAGCAGCAGTAGTAGTGGGAGTAGTACAGCAGGAGTTGCATCAGCAGCAATAGCACAGCAGCTGCGGCAGAAGCAGTAGAAGTCGCAGTCGTACCAGGAGCAATGCTAGTAGTGGAAGTGACGGGAGCAGTGACTCTTGTTGTGGTAGGCAACGATAGAGCGAGGACAGGTGAATCGCAGCATAGGTTGGAGACAAGAACAATCATGCGAACTCTTCACAGTGATGCATAATGGTAGAGCCTTCTTCCCAGAGCCGATGGTGTCCAGAAGCTGTCTCCTGTGTGTGCTGTTGGCATGTGCGGGCATCGTGCTCCGTGGTGCAATGCAGCTCTTGGTTTTTTGCCGGTTGCGGCTTGAGGGGATGAGGGTTGTGCATTCGACATCGGACCTCGTTTTTGTCTTGAGCATTACGGATGTTAGTTTGCCGATAGCTGCTGCCCTGCGACTGCAGGTTATATGTTTGGATGTTCGATTCTGTCTCTGGCTTTCTCAAGCTTCTGGTGCTGTCGCAGCACGCTGCGTCGAGGAGTCGATGATGCCAGCAACCTGCTAAGTCCATCAGTAGACAAGTTTCGCTTGGACTCATTCTCAACCCTCATGTCCATACCCGAACAATCGCTCTTCCTACACCCTACAGTCTGCATGGAGTCGGGTTTTGTGTCACATTCTGTTTTACATGTTTGCGAAAATCCAGTGAATACCAGGTTACACCCGAAACCCGATTCCCAGTATTTAGGCCCCTATAGTACCACCGGCCTCAACGACACCAAGCCCACAGCTGTTCGACATCGAGTGCCCGTCGGCACAGCGCCTGGGCTTCAGAGTTTAGGGTGAAGAGGTGGCAAGGGTATCGAATAGTTGGCAAGAGTATAACCCCTATGTGCCTAAATATCTGGCCTTTGTTTGGCGTGCGATCTGGATGTCAGGTTCTATGGGGGCTACAGAAATGGACAGGGCGGGAGACTTCGTGATGGAGAGGGCGGGTACACGATCTGTGATTCCTTTGGCTTGAGAGACGCTGCAGAGAGCCCAGCTGGTTGCTTGGTGTACTCTGTGGGCAGCGGTGGGGAGTTCTCTTTCGAGAGGGCTGTCCACAAGTAGATTTCTGAAAAGTGTGAAATCCATGTCTTCGATGCATACCCGATCGAGAAGTATCTGTCAAAAACGCACGTTCCTGGCTATCCTCATGATCCGGTTCCAGATTTTTTGACATACCATGCAATGCCACTAGATGCAAACCACAGCATCGGAGTCCTGATGGAGAACCTGGGGCACACCGGCAGGACGATCAAGCTACTTAAGGTCAGTTGCAACGGATGCGAAATTGCGACACATCAGACTTGGTTGGTCGGGGACACCAAGATTGAGCCTCGGCTGCGCTAAGTCGTCGCTGCAGATAGAGGAGAATGAGCACTCATCTGGGAGCATAGGCAGGAGTTGCAAATCATATACAATCCCGAGAACTCAATCCCCCGTGTTTGGTGTTTTGCCCTCCAACACAATTTTTTACTAGGAAAAGGTTTGGTTTTCACACCAAAACCATTTTTTCCTAGGAAAATGTTGGTTTTTCCACCAAAAACCATTTTTCTAGGGAAAACCTAAAAAGACATTTTTTTGAAGTCTGGCCACATAGTTTGCCAAAAGATGGTTTTGTTGTTTTTTTTGTTTTCCCTAAGAAAAAGTTGGTTTTTGTGAGGAAGAATACGGTGTTGCCGTGATGTGTGTGCTCACGTCGATCCTGAACCAGTTGCTTAGCGGCTGGTTTGTGATTGGAAGAGTACAGTGTTACCGTTGAGTGCTTGCTCACGTCGAACCTGAAAGAGCAGTCTAGCACGTTCTGTTGAAATGTGAGCTTCGTTTAGGTTACCCTTGCGAGGATACGGAATCTGGATCTGCCGGAAAAGCCGTTTCAACACGGTATTTACGAAACAAAACGAGGGTCGGCAGTTCTTGGGGGGTTACCATATATATATATATATATATAGATATATATATATATATATATATATGCTACCCCCCCCCTCAAGGATCCACCTTTTTCGTGTGTTTGAGAGCCGGATGCGAAATAGTTGATATCCTATAACGTATTCCCTTCTCTTTACAAGTGCTTCACTAAATACGCTTCGACTGCATCAAAGATTTCGCAAATCCTACATTCTGCCTTTCCTTCATATACACCCTGAGTTTTTCCAAGCCACATACATTCGCGTACGGCTTCTTCTCGTTGCAAAAGAACGCAAGCTTGCATGCATGTTGTGTGTGTATAGGTTTTTGCATGCAGCAGTATGGGCTCTGAAGGTAAAAAGCAACAGGAGAGCAAAGATATATCATCCCATATAACATAGTATCACGACAAGTACAGATATGAACAGAGGGCCCTATTACTACACCTCCCATATATAAGACGCATCGAGATTATAGATAATGTCCGTGAACACGAGATCTAGCGAACCTTTCAGGGTTCAATACCTTGTATTTCACCAATAAATCACCCTTTAGATTACATTTGGGAATACTTTGCAAAATTCCACTCTCATAACCTTCATATTTTGTAGAAATCCATTTGAATATCCTGTCGCATACCGTATACAAAACCACCTATATATGATACACCCCGCACGCATTATATTACACATACCCTATAGGACACTCTATACAAGACATTATATAGAATATCTTACAGCATGTCCTGTAGAATACTTTCCCCATGTATCTTGAAACCTTTCATATGGAATGCACTTATAAAGAATACCCTCATGCCTTATTGAATACCCTAGAGCCTCTAGACTACCTTACCATATACTTTCAGTCACAGCCCGTATTTCTTTTGAATATCTAGAGTACCTAACAGAATACGACATAGAATACCCTACAGAATACCTTATGGAACACATAGTACCCTCTATATATATCGTACGCCTCATGGAAGACCGTCTGGAATACTCTGTAGAAGACCTTACGGAATGCCCCTATGGCCCTATATATGACAGTCCATGTATACAGTATATATACCTTGAACACATATAACACCGCACGCATTATATTACACATACCCTATAGGGCACTCTATACAAGACACTATATAGAATATCTTATAGGATGTCCTGTAGAATACTTTCTCTATGTATCTTGAAACCTTTCATACGGAATGCACTGATATAGAATACCCTCATGCCTTATTGAATACCCTAGAGCCTCTAGAATACCTTATCATATACTTTCAGTCATAGTCCGTATATCTTTTAAATATCCAAAGTACGTTGCAGAAAACGACATAGAGTACCTTACAGAATACTTTATGGAACACATAGTACCCTCTGTATGTCGTGCGCCTCATGGAAGACCGTCTGGAATACTCTATAGAATACCTTACAGAATGCCCATATGGGCCTATACATGACAGTCCTTGTATACAGTATATATACCCTGAACCCATCTAACACTTAGTGGCTCAAAACCAAACTTTTCAACTCTTGGCCCCTAATAAGGTAATCTTACTGCGAAAACTTAAACTTTTTACACCCCCATAGATACAACGTCACCCACGTGTTACCTGCCATGCAGTCGCCAGACTCGCCATGCGGGAGCCAAAAATAGGTATTTGGGAAGTAAGAATACCTATAGATAATGCGAACGGACTGCGATGCCTTGTCAAGTTCTAAGGTGTCACTATAAGAGCTGTGAGCAAGACCGTGTAAAGTGCAAGAGAAGGGGGCACGCTACGCGTCCCTCGACTCTAAGGGGGCATGCTACGCATCCCTCATCTTTACCTTTCTATGTGACCGCCAACGCAACGTTTGGCTCAAGTCAATGCCCATAGCTAAGTGCTATATGTGTCTTCTATCCTGAGCAATCAGAGCTATCCCGTTGCACAGACGAACCGCCGCCGGCAGTGAGTGCAAAAGGAACGGCCGCCGGTTCTGCCTGCATAGGATTGCACGTGTGGAAGTAAGAGGGAGAGACAGGGTCCAGTCTGTGGAGAGTGCAAGCCAGCCACACCTACATTCATTACAGCTCTGGTGGGGAGAGCAGCAACCAAGTCGAGATCAATCCCCCACGCAGGTTATCAGCCGTACGCGGCTCTGCCTTTCTACAGCAACGACTACTTGATCTACTACGACCACAATGAACTCAGGATCAAGCCAAGATACGACAATGACTTTCGGTGCCGATGTGGCAGCGCCAGCCGTTGGTGAGTCAACAGCTGATGACACAGTGGTGCAATCCGTTGATAGCTCCACGGAAGATGACAAAGGTCAATCTTCTGCGCTTGCCATTGCAAAGGCAGTTCCCAAGGGGAAAGCAAAGAGTCTACCAAGAGCATCTACGCCTTCGCGTCCGACATCCACAGGTTCGAGGACGGGCAAGGCTTCAGAACGACGGGCCGAAGCGTCTGGTTTTCAGGCACCTCGGACTACGTCCAGGGCCAAGGACAAAGGAGTGAAGACCTTGGAAAAGAAGTCAAGGCCATCATCTTCGAGAAGCTCTTCAGCACGATCGAGGACCTCAGCCACTCGTGGGCGTGACAAGTCCATGACTTGGAATCGGATGGTTACCAATCAACCACGTGATGCTGACGATCTGGATATGACTCTGGACACTATCCCAGCACGTGGTGATGCGTCATCGGTGACCACGCCAGCCATAGCCGATGGTCCGAATGCCTATCAGGAACTGACGATTTCGCAACAGCTCGAAGCATCTAACCTTGCGCAGCAGATGTACTATCGCAGTCAGATGCAAGAATACGAAGGAGTTGTTCAGACCCTGATGGACAAGATCAAGGAGATGCAACAAGAAGATGAAGGATCTGGAATTCGCATTGAAGAATTGGAACGACAACGTGACCATGCATGCTTAGCCATGAGGCACATCAACAATGTCAATCAGGAGATGAAGCGAGACTATGAAACAGCTTTGTTTCGCATGGATGAACAGAACTCTGCTCAACAACGTCAAGCACATGCCGTTGCCGAGGAGTTAGCTCAACAGCTACACGTGTTCCGCACGGAGGCAGCCACTAACTTTGTGCAGTTGGAGGCAAGAGCGCAAGGCGATGGTGAGCTTATGGCACGTGAGTATGAGCGTCTGACTCATGAACTTCATGAACATGCCAGAGAGAACTTGGTCCTCCGGTCAAACACAGCAAGTTCGGAACAAGCCTTACAAGCAATGCAGGAACGATTCCACTTGGTCAAGAACCAGGAGTTGCGGGCCGTGAACGAGATTCAAGGGCTAGCTGGAAACAGCGCAGCCATTGATCAAGAACGATTTCGGCTTCGCGAACGTCTTGGTGAAGAGGAAGAGTACCGCAAAATGGCTGTGAAGAGGATGCAAGAAGCAGAGGACCGACTTCATCAGAATGAAGATCATGCAAGGCGATCATTGCCTACCTTGCACGACGAGCTGAGTGAACTCAGGAAAACGCTCAAAGCACAAGAAGATCTTCAAGCGAGGACACGCAGCGAATTGGAGGCAGCGCGAAACTCCAATTACGGAGGAGCGACACGGCCTTCAAGCATGCCCATGTCTTCGAGGACTACTGAGTCTGGCTGGGAGCACGTAGGAAAGGAAGTAGTGCCTGCATTTTCCGTAGGAGGTGAGGTACGATCCCCTGAAATACGGTCCCCAAGTCAAGTTAGTCCAGTCGCCAAAGAGAAGTTCGCATTCTCGGAATCGGACAAGGACAAGAACCTTGTGATGGATGGAATTCCATTCACCGGTGGAAACTTCTTCACTGGCCGCAGTTCAATGCCAATCGTGGCGGATGCAATGCCCGAGCACTACGTGCCAGGTATTAGCAGCCCAGCACTTGCGCGTTCCACGCCTAGTGCAGCCACTTTGTTCGGCATACCAAGCGGATTTCATGGGAAAAGTGATGCGGCAGCCGTGCGTGATCGACAGCTACGCGAACTCTTGGAGGATCGCGGGATGTTGGGATCGAAGTCCACAGCATCTGCCAGCTCCTCAAGACCTGTTGGTGTCGACGGTATCACCGCATCTACGAAGGGCAACGACCTCATCGGTCCCCCTATTGCCTATGACGATTCCATTCATGAAGCAAGGAGACGTCAGATCGAGAAAGAGGTCGCGGAACGGTACGAGGAGAAGATTGCCGATCTGCGAAGCGAAGTACTCAAGGCCCAGAAAGCCGAACAACGTCTCAGAGCTGATCGTGATGAGTGGAAGTTATTCGCTGAAACGATTCAGGAGGATAATGGAGACGATGACGGTGACGAGGCTGGCGACGAGAACGAAGATGGAGAGCACGATGAAGGAACCGGCACGGGGTATGACCCTCCTGACCCGCCTGACGATGATGATGATAAGAAGAAAAGCGGTGGAGGCAAACCTGAATCGGATCC